CAGGTATATTCTCCCTCATTATAACAGGAACCACAGACTATCAAGTCTATTTAATTAGAGTTTATACAGGTTAATTGGCATAGTTAACTGCATGTGTGTAGGCTGGCGGGTAAACGGGTGCCGAGGATTCGGCAAAATTGCAGGAAGATCTAAAAAAAAAATTCGCATGGGTCTGAAAAATGGCAGATGAAATGTAATGTGGACAAATGTAAAGTTCTTAGCCTAGGAGATGTAAACAGAAACCAGATATCAGATGAATAACATTGATATAGAAATCCGGCTGTGAGGAAGATTTATGAGTAATGATAAGCAGGGATCCTAAACCAAGTCAACAATGTGTTTTTGCTCGAAACACGGCTAACAAAGTACTTGGGTTCATACAAAAAAGTGTTAGTTACAAGACTATCGAGGTCATCCTAAAACTATATCTTGCGCATTGTAAGACCTCACTCGGATTATGCAGTTCAGTTCTGGTCACCGTACTACAGAATGGATGTCGAAAACCTAGAAAGTATTCAGAAGAGAATGACCCAAATAATCACGTGCATTAGGAACCTTGAGTATAGAGACAGATTAAAGCATCATAATATGCACTCCCTCGAGAGAAGTAGAGTGAGGGGCGATATGATCGAGGTGTATAAATGGAAATCAGGGTTAAACAAATGTGATATAACAAAGGTACCTAAATTATCTAACCAGGAGGGAACTCGTAGTAATGGTTTTAAAATAGACAAATTTAGATTTAGGCGCGAGATAGGTAAAATACTGGTTTGGAAATATAGTAGTGGATGAGTGGAACAAGTTACTTAACATCATCATTAAAGCGAATACGCTGGATAGCTTCAAACATGGGTTGAATGGATATATGAGCGATAGGGGTTGGGTGTAAACGGGACTGCCTTGTGTGGGGCGGACCTGAAGAAGGGTTTTAAGTTTAACAAATTTATTGACAAAGCTTGTAGTACAGTTTGTCTATTCTGAGTAATTCATTCAGGTCTTGACACTGAGGGTGGTATCACTTCTCATTGCCACGCAGGACAGAGGCATATTCATTAACAGCTATACAGTATACTGTATATATAGAGGTCAGATTCATGTGGATAATGTCACTGTTCACTGCCATGCAGGACAGACGTTCGTACACAAAGAAATACATCATATTCATTGACACAATATAAAGGTCAGATTCATGTGGGTAATGTGAGGCGGACCTGTAGGAGGGTGTCGAGGCGGACCTGTGGGAGGTGTCGAGGCGGACCTGTAGGAGGGTGTCGAGGCGGACCTATAAGAGGGTGTCGAGGCGGACCTGTAGGAGGGTGTCGAGGCGGACCTGTAGGAGGGTGTCGAGGCGCACCTGTAAGAGGGTGTCGAGGCGGACCTGTAAGAGGGTGTCGAGGCGGACCTGTAGGAGGGTGTCGAGGCGGACCTGTAAGAGTGTGTCGAGGCGGACCTGTAAGAGGGTTTCGAGGCGGACCTGTAAGAGGATGTCGAGGCGGAACTGTAAGAAGGTGTCGAGGGCGGACCTGTAGGAGGGTGTCGAGGACCTGTAGGAGGGTGTCGAGGCGGACCTGTAGGAGGGTATCGAGGCGGACCTGTAAGAGGGTGTCGAGACGGATCTGTAAGAGGGTGTCGAGGCGACCTGTAAGAGGGTGTCGAGGCGGACCTGTAAGAGGGTGTCGAGGCGGACCTGTAAGAGGGTGTCGAGGCGGACCTGTAAGAGGGTGTCGAGGCGGACGTGTAAGAGGGTGTCGAGGCGGACCTGTAAACCATATAATTGCAACAACAAACAAAGCAAACAATCATCAAGAAAGATTTATATGACTTTCAAAGGTGGCGGGAAGGTTAATGGTGACGTTAGTGCTGTGGGAGTTGGAAATGTTACAGAATAAACTCCAGCTCAAACCTATGATTTCCTTTTCCTTACCACCACAAACCACCCATTTATCGATGTGGGTGTGTGTGTGTGTGTTTTGTCACGTCTTGCCATTACATTTTGGTGGGGAAACCATTACCGACACACAGACGCCCTTCCCCACCCCATCTCTAAAACCTATCAACCAATCAATGTCGTTTTCATAAGCCCGCAAGTTTCCCATCACATGAACCCATATAAGACCTTGTTCGTCTGTTTCTCATGCACTCACTCCCTCAAATACAAGTTTATCTCCCCTCCCTCCTTCAACAGCCTCATCGCCTGTCTGTGCCCCATAGCAGCTATATTACGGCTAAATGATCTTTCTATATTTTATCTCTATCGTCTATGTGACCTTTTCAGCCTTATATGCCACTTTGATACTTACATGGGCTACTTAAGTGATACGTTCGTGGTCATATGTCTTATGTGTTCTCGCCAGTGAACCTTCATTAGTATGTTTCATTTATTAGTGATACCGGGTCCGATCTTACTTACTTTTATAAGCACCAGTATAAAACACCACCAGAGTGCTCTTATTCTTGGGTCGAATTTGCCATTTACTACTTAATATTCTCGTGCATTTGACTACACCTCCTGGCATGAGACGTGTTTGGTCATGACTCCTCCTATCCTGTTGTAAATTGTATATTTATTAGTATTAAGGCTAATTACAAGTAAATAACTGTTGATGCATGTTTAACAACCATCCCCATATCTACTATATAAGTAATACTGACTATTACTTTTATGATACTTAAATTTACTGGAACACACCACTAATTTGTCACGGGCGAGACTTCTAGTGAACATTTTACAAACATTTTTGACTAAGACAGTATTTCTTGGAGGTTCTGAGCATACTATAAACTGTTGACAAGAAGTTTCTACTACGTAATAATAATAATAATAATAATAATAATAATAATAATAATAATAATAATAATAATAATAATAATAATAATAATAATAATAATAATAATAATAATAATAATAATAACAACAACAACTAACGTTTTATTGACAAATTTAGCAGCCAAAATTTTAGTTTTCCTAAGATAATTTTTGGCAAAAATAGTACAAATTTGCTTTTCAAAACAGGCGAGATAAGACAAATAAAGCTAACCTAACATAACCTAACATAACCTAACATAACCTAACATAACCTAACCTAACCTAACAAATCCAACACAACCCAATCTATCTCACATAACCTAAACTATCCTAACCTATCAAACATACCTAGATTAACTTGCTCTAACTAACCTCACCTATTCAAACCTAACATAACCTGGCGACACCCTTTACACTCGTTACTATCCATTGGCCCTCTTTGTCGGTATAGCCCTTGGTCATGTGGCAATGCGAGGCCAGACCAACACGGCAACCATGCTCTCGTATGGCAGGCCAGCAAGGGATGGCATGGGAGACAATGAAGTCAAGCACATCATCAAGAAGAATCTGATAACTGCGGGTTGCCGAACTCATAAGGAACCACAGATTTATAGATCCAACAACAAGCGTCAAGACGGAATCACCCCAACTCCATGGAAGGACGCCTAACAGATAGTGTGGGACTACAAAAATGCTTCGACCTGGGTACCCTCTTATCTTCCGATCAGTGTAGCTGAAGCAGGGTGAAGAAAGATGTAGGGAGAGTCAGAAGGAGGCACAGTTTAGGAAACTTACCTGGAAATATCGCGTTGTCCAAATAGGGTAGAAGACTCTGGGTACCAACTCCCTGATGTTTCTGAATGAGTTGGGTTCTAGGCTTGTTGAAACCGGAAGTCTCTGGAGTGTCGATACATTGCTCCAGTGCCTTTGCATAGAGATCCAAAGAGGGAATGTTTGTTGTATACTAGGATCTCGTCCCTCACCTGAGTATATCGAAAGAGTCTTCAAAGTGTGATGTGAGAACATATTATACTGCACTTGTAAATATATCTATATATATAGCAAATGACGTTTAAGCATTCTTAGCATAACTTTTCGTATAGAAAGTTATCACTTAATGAAGGTTTTAGATGACACTTGGTGAATTTTCCTGTTTCACTTAAGATATCATTTACAATCATAAATTAAACCGTAAATAGATTAAGAAAGGTTAGGTTAGAGTAAATAAGGGTACTCGTAAGCCCGGACCTTCGGCCTAGAAAACAGGTCGTTAATGTTCGAAATAAGGCAAACAGAGTATTAGGTTTTTTTATCCAGAAGTGTAAGAATAAGAATGAGGAGGCCATACTGCAATTACTGTATATCTTGCGCTAGTCAGGCCGCACCTCGATTATGCTGTTCAGTTGTGGTGCCCTTATTATTGAATGGATATCAATTCACTAGCGTCGGTGCAGCGAAGAATGACGAAAATGATTCCGGGTCTTAGAAACCTTCCCTATCAAGATAGATTAAAGAAACTAAACTTGCATTCCCTAAAAAGACGAAGAGTGCGGGGAAATATGATAGACGTATTTAAGTGGGTAAAAGGAATCAATAAAGGGGATATAGAAAAAGTTCTTATAATATCCGAGCAGGATAGGATTTGTAGCAACGGATTTAAGTTGAATGCGTTTAGGTTTAGGAGGGAAGGAACTGATTCACAAATAGGGTGGTGGACGAGTGAAAAGCTTAACAACTTTTTAGTGAGTGCTGGAATGCTGGAAAGTTTTAAATGGAGGCTAGATAGATTCATGGATGATAGAGAGTGGTAGTAACTCTCGACAGGAGCTGCCATGCACAGGCCAACCGGCCTATTGCAAACTCCCTATTTTCTTATGTTCTTAATTCATTTAAGATCATATTATGTTTATATTATTTGTTGTCCCAAATTATATGGTATATTGATTATTTAACGAAAAAGTTTAATGTAAAAATTATCATAATGTTACAGTTACTACTAATTGTTGATATATGTGTGTAGTTAGTTAATTGCTTTATAATACCTTAACATTTTATAACATTATGATTATATTAATTTCTCTACAATGATTTCAGTTCTACTTCCTCTTACCACACCATGAAACTATTTCTAACTGGGCTAAAATACTATAATTGGCAGCGTGACGTAACCTTGAGCGGCGCTGTAGGTATATAAGGCACTAGTCTGTCTGAGAATGCATCAGTTACCTTCACCGTTCACTGCCGTCATGACTACTAAGGTGGAAACATTTCATTTCCACAACTTTTGACAAGATTACAATATGAGTTTAAAGTGTTAAATGCTTCTATAGTTTTTCCATTTTGTATGATATCAATGATAGGTAAGTACAGTATGTAGTTAAAATTAACGTGTTATGACAAGTGTTGCGGTCTCGCCCTTTAGGTTATGTTATTGGCCGCCCTTGTGGCTGCAGCCCTCGCTAGGCCTGACCGACAGTACAGCCCCCCCACTCCTGCATACAACACCCAGCCCCCTCCTACAACGCCCCCGCTCACCCGAGACCTTCCTACTCTGCTGCTCCTGCTTATCCTGACGTAAGTTGGTACTGCCAGATGTATCATGTAGCAATTTATATGGAAATTTGGTTTTGGTCGTTAAGTTACTTGATATATTAGTAACTTTACATAGTTTGTACGAGTCATATTAGTAGTTTTTAATTTATTTATTGACACTCATAACAATTTGCTAAAAATGCTGTCTATTTCATCACACGTAAAACAATATAATTAAAATGTAACTATATTTTCGAATTCGAGACTAATAATCCATTAACTATTTTGGTCACAGACTCCTCCCCAGTACAACACCCAGTACATCGTGAGAGATGATCACTCAAACAACGACTTCGGCCATGAAGAATCCCGTGACGGCTACAACACCCAGGGTACCTACTCCGTGCTGCTTCCCGACGGCTGTGCAGAGGGTGACTTATCACGTCGACGGTGACTCCGGCTACGTGGCTGAGGTGACCTACGAGGGTGAGGCCCTGTACCCAGCCTACCATCCTGCCCCAGCACCCTCCTACAGGCCCGCTCCTACACCCTCTTACACGCCAGCAGCCAGCTATGCCTAAATAGTAATGAACACCATTGCATATATTAACCAACTTACCTGAATAAAAATTAATTTATAAATTTCATCATTTTAAATTCTTCCTAGAATGAGAGGTATATCTGCCCTCTTTTTCAACTAATATCAAACGCCATTGCTCTTCATGTCGGGGGCTTTTTTTCCACCCAAACTCCTCCTTATGTACAGGTCTCGATCACCTGGTCGTCCGTGTCGGTATAGCCCTTCATCTTTAGCCCCTAATACACACTGAAATTGCAGACCAACATGACAATATGGCAGCCATTCCCTCATATGCGAAACTACCAAGGGATGGTAAGCAAAAGATAATAAAGTTATTGACATCATGAAGAGGAATGTGACAACTGCGGGCAGCCCAGGATATAAAACCTAGGGTCTATAGATCCGACTATAGGTTTCGCTGAAATAGTATAAATGATATGCAAGAAACAGTTAAAGCTGGATTACGATTTCAAGTACTGATATCAAGTTTAATAACTTTGTAGAGTACAAATGTATTTACTGTCTTGATCACAGACTCCTCCCCAGTACAACACCCAGTACACCGTAAAGGACGACTACTCCAGCAACGATTTCAGCCATGAAGAACTCCTGACGGCTACAACACCCAGGGCCTCTCACTCCGCACTGCTTCCCGACGGTCGTGTGTAGAGGGTGACTTACTGTTCGTGTTCTGGGTATTAGGTTCTATATACAGGAGCGAACACAAACACCTGTATAGTTTGTAGGTTCTATTTACTGGATAAGAGATATGTACACAAGGGGAGTAGCGCTCCTTACTCTGTCTGCTGGTCAATCATTTCTAGGCGACGTATGGGAAGTGATACATTAGTAGCTTCCATATGTCGCCAGGCACATTAATTAGGCATGTGGGACATCTAAATACATTGCCACACGCTACTAGCTAGGCTGAATAAATAGTACATAAATGAGCACATACATAATATACATAGCATAATATAAATACAGCATACAGAATATACATACACCTCCCTCCCCTATACGCTCATAGCAAAGTCTTGAGCGGACCTTTTGGATCCGTTCTAAGCATCGAGGACTTGATCACTGGGAAGGGTATGGACCAACACTGGTGGCGGGTCAGAAGAAGGCATTGTTACGGGCGGAGAAAAATATGTTCCTCCACCACAATACCACCACTGGGTAACTCGCACCTGGTAGTCCCAGGACTACCGAGACCCACATGACTACGCCTACTTTGTCCCAACGGAGGTCAGTCCTGAACACGGACTTGATGTCGACACTAACTTTGGGAGAGAACGGGCGTGGCCGCTAGAAGGGCGATTTACTTTGAACACGCTCGTGGCTCATGATCATTAACTTCTGTCTTGGCCTGCCACTCCTGGAGAAGGATTGAGGGTGAGCAGGACACAAGAACGAAGGGGGCGTCCATACAAAAACCCGGGCAGGGGAGCGTCCGGTGTAGTTAGGGTGTGTTATGAGTTCAAGAAGACCGGTCGAAGGCCTCGCAGTCAATATTCCCAGAAGGGGCCACTCTTATGATGAGGTGCCTCAAGGATTTGACAGCAGTTCAGCGGCCGCTGACCGCGGGTAATGGGGGCGATGACAACACATGCCGGACTCCCCCATCGGCCGGAGCGAACACAGCAAAGTCCCGGCTTGTGAACTGAGGGCTCCTCCGTCGGTTCGACGTACAGGAACGCCCACGTCATTTAAAGTAGTGGCGAACTTAGCTGATGGTGGCGGCAGACGTCGTGTCATTACCGCAGTAATTTGATGACAACCGGCCAACCAGAGAGACGGTCGACGATAACAAGGAAGGACTTTCCTTATACAGAGAAAAAGTCGGCTGACACAGACTCAAGGGGCGGTGGGGGTTGTCGTCACCATGAAGGGTTCCTGCTGCTGGCTGGGTTGTACACGGCAGGGCCTCACATGCATGGACAACACATTGGAGATGTCGGAGTTGATGCCGGGCCAGAACACAGTCTGTCGCACGCCGTTTGGCAGGCCTCAGCCCACGGCAGGGACTGTCGAAGGCGAGCCAAGACGTGAGGACGTGATGCAGCAGGGACAATCTGCTACATGTGCTCCGACAGAACAAGGTCTCCGTCGAGTAGAGTTCATCGCGGAGTTTCCAATACCGAGCAAAGTGTTGTGAAGGTCGAAGCGTTGCTAGGAACCATTCCTCACACACTCGACGAGTCGGACGTGTAGGAAGGGTCATCTCGCCGTTGTTCGAAGGTCCTCCATTGCCTTGTCGTCATCTGGTGACAGGTCCAAATGAAGGATTGACGGCGTGTGAGGGCCACAGTCCTGACGGAAAGAGCGAGGTCGGCGTCGAGCACATGGGCTTTCGGAGTAGGGCGTATGACAGGAGAGCGATATGCGATCAGATGCAGAGCTTCTTACCAGCGCCAGCGCCACTGCTGTGAAGATGCACGCCGAGCTTTCTCTTCAGACGCTGGAGGCGAGGGTTCTCAACGCAAGTGTCCAGCGCAGTGGTTGAGGATCGGGACACAAGCGGGCGATGGTCGGTCACTAGGTGAAACTGTTGCAGGCCTATAAGGTAAAAACCTGCACTTGACATCGCTCCAAACCAAAGCCGCAACAGCTCCAACTCAATAGTGGCGCAGCCGTCTCGCAACAGAGAGGAAACGCGAGCCACACTGATGAGCTGAACTGCCTCCACCATGATCCTGCACAGGGCGTATCCCACGCCATACACAAGCGTGTGAGGCTTGCCTGCAGAACCGTCGGCAAGGTTGGGTCAAACGGCGAGGACAGGTGACCAGACAGGGCCTGTTTCACTTGCTGGAAGGCCTTGTCGTGGTCGGGGTCCACAGGAATGTCCTGGGGCTCAACAGGGGCGAAGTGGTTGGGCAGCTGCGGAGATGTCCGGCGAAAACTCTGCTAACTGGGTTGACGAGACCGATGAAGACCCTCAAGTCGGTGAGGTTAGTAGGGTGGAAAATCCGCAGATAGCGCTGACCTTTTCCGGGTCAGTTGCGATACCAGCTCCCTGAGAGGGTGTACCCACAAAAATCCACTGGAAGAGCTGGCCAGAACAAACTTGTCGGCATTTAGGTGATGCTGCGCCTGGCACCTGTTGAGTGCCTCGTAGATACGGCAGAGGCATCCATGTAACTCTATCAGACATTTAGTAGTGTCGCCGACCACTTTCACACAGTTCGCCAAACCTTGTAGAGCCATATCACCTGAAGACAGAAAGGCCCCCAGAGGCGAATCATGGGGCCGGCAATAACTGTAACTCTTGGCGGGGTAATGAAAGTTGTAAGTGGTCGGCCTCTTTCAGCAAGCTTCCATTTCCAGTATCCACATAGGGCGTCCATCGTCGTAGCTAGGCCGCTCGGGTTCACACTCGCGATAACTGCAAAGGGCGGGAGAAGGGTGCGCAGGACTATATTAATTCGGCTGTTGAGCTTGAGAGTCAGTGGTGATCCTAACACCACCTTTGGGTTTTGGCGACGACTACCATAGGGTGACACCATGAAGACGGGTCATCACCGGCTGGCAATAATTCTTGGGCGACCATGGAGTCCAGCCTGTTTTTGGATCACTTCGCGGAAAGCCAGGGGACCAGTTGAGGGTGTAAATAGCGAAGGGCTTCGCGTCGTCCCTCAGTGGGATCCTCATGGGGGACCTACCATCTTCTTGAGAGGCTGATTCCAGAGCGGACTTGTAACCAGAACGTCGCTGAATTCCTTCCAGGAAGTACTTCCGAGCACTGAAGGAGGTGTCACTGGCAAGAGGCAGGGGTAGGGCGGGCAGCAGGGTCGTTGTTGCTCCCTTGCACCCTGTTGGCGTGTTTTACCTCGAGAATAGGTTTGGGGAAGCCCTGGGGAGATGATGGCCAACTCTTGACAATGTCTGTAGGACAGCAAAGGAGTCGACACCGTTATGCACATCAATCCAGGCTTGACACGACCTGTTGCCAAATGCAGACTTGTGCTTGAGTGAACTCTAGGCTGGGGTCATCTAGAACCATCTGCCGTAAAGCCGAGATCCTTGGGGGGCGGTCCCAGATCACTTGGAGAGCCCTACATTGCAAATGCTGAGGACCGATGACAGTAGCATCATACGGCGTCGGGCAACATCTGAGTCGGGGTGACACACTGTCGTAGGGTCACGATGACACTGATTACTGGGGGACTTGGTCCTGGGACGCGGGGGGGGAGCACACATTCCTAATATGGCTCGGCGTTGTCCAGGGTCGTCATGCTTTGATTGGAAAGACTGTGGGCGGCCCCTCACTGGTGGAAGGGCGCTGAAGCTTCACGACGCTGTTCTGGGTTTGCTGGTAGGGCAACACTTGTCATAGTGGCCTAGACGACCGCACATTGTACCGACGCGCTTAGCTGGGCACCGTACCGTGAGTAATCGAGGGCCCTGATGGTCAACTGTTGCAGGTAGACTCAGCAGCTGGACACACTCTGTGTTCCGTGCTGCTTACCACAGTTGTTGCTAAAATGAACCGGGCGTGGACGTGGTGGGCGAAGGCGTAGGAGCAGACTTCTTGTCCTTCTGGTACCGGGACACAGCGCGTACAACTGTAGGGGAGCTCGGATGGCAGAGGTGGCACCTGGCAGCCTCTATAGGAGCGACATATCGTCAAAACATCCTAAGAGAAGAGGAAGAGTCGAGGAGGTGAGGCGTTGGACAAGCCCTCGTCCTTAACACCCATCAGGATCACCTGCTTCAATTGGGTTCCCTCGCACTGCTGGGTGCGGCCTAGACATATATCTACCTCTTTCCGAGACTCTCTTGACGTACATAAAAGGCTTCAAAAGTCTCGCCTCCATCTGTCTACAGCAAAACATTCCCTCCTGCGCAGAGCTTCATTCCTCTGTCCTTTGATGTGCCGTTGTAGAATATCCAGCAATTTCCTCTGGCTAAGACAACGGTTAAAAATTCTGCAACGTATGTTCTAAGACACGCTGGAGTTTCCATGACAGCAATATGCTACGCAGCTGAATGAATTGTTTAGGCTGTGACAAACTCTGGAGACTAATTCATTGTAGCATAAACAGTCCACCGTCGCCGC